CCCACAATGTGTCGTGATACCTTTTCACCAGCTGATCATAAGGTGTTAATGAAAGCGTGACCAGCCCCAGAATCGAACTGAGAATAACACAGAACGTTAACCTGTGATGAACAGGAGAACCCCACAATGTGTCGTGATGCCTTTTCACCAGCTGATCGTTGTATGATCGATTGCGTGGCAAGAACTCATGTATCAACTGCTCGCTGGAAACCAAGGATGCCTGGCTCACACCCCTTTTTCATGGCAATGGTGGAACCGTGGCACCGTACCAGGAGTCCCTTTGCTATTGTCCGCTGGCTCCTTAATTGCACATGAAAAGTTGCGGTGCCGCCCTTTTGCCCCTCACCAAAGGTTGGCTTACAACTTGGCGCCTCTTTGCTCCTCAATGAAAGTTAGGATTACAAGGGACCCCCAGCCTTGCACAGCGCGAAGGCTGGTGACGTCAGACGTGCTCAAGCTTCGACTTTCGCTGGAGCGCGCATCTCTTACTTCCCAAATTGGGCTGAACTTCTTGTTGCCACCATCCTTCCTGATTACCACCATCTTCTTCCCACCAGCGCACCGTCTACCACACCTGCTCGCCCTAGGTGTGGACACGCATCGAGCTGCTTCCTCTTTGAGTGGAGAAGACGAGCGCGCGGTGAGCACCACGCCGCACGGCCTGCTTGCCAGTTGAGCGGGGTAGCAACGGCCCCACTTGGCAGGTTCAAACACCTGTTGCCACTATCTCCTCCACCGCAATGCATCATTTCCATGGGTGCTTTTTGAGATTCAGCGGGAGGAGTCTGCCTACTCGCCCTATTCTCTGTGTACAGCTGACTAGTATGCGCTTCACAGAAAGTCAATCGTTTCGTTCTCTTCCTCAGTCGTAGACCCCTCGTCCAAGTCTCAAGCAATGATCAGCACCTGGGTTTTGATCCTGGTGCAAGGGGAAATCACCACCGATGAAGTCACGAGCATGCAGTATTTGACTTTTTTTTCGTCAGCGTAGGCATCTTGGGTACTCACCGGAAGGGCGAGAACGCAGTTATCTCACGGTTGACCTTGGCGAGTGGCCTGAGTGAGGATCTGCCGGGGTGGAAATGCGCTCCCGCAACGAACTCGTGCCTCTGCAGGGCATATACTGGCATATGTAAACTCAGCTCTAAGGGCACATTCTTTCTCCTGCGGTGCTTTCACGATATTCGTCGAATTGCTTACGTAGTAGTTGTCGCAGTTGCTCACTTCTTCGAGACTTCGACATTAAACTCGCAATCCCTCAGGTTTGTGTCCAAAGCTTCTCGCATTAAAGTCGCTGCAGCCCGCGCCCTCCCGAATGTCCGAATTAAAGAAGTCTGAAATATGTTCCCTCACATCATTCGGCGGATTCCAATGCTTCTCTCCTCCTACGCACAGTTCTTAAGTGTGAGCTCATCCCACTTTATGTTCTCCAGTAGAAGCCTTCACTCCTTTAACTTCTGCTGGTGCCTTTCCTGACATGAAGCAATCACAAGTGCGTGTCCTCACAACATACTACCGACAAGTGTCAAGCGTGGAAGACACTCACATCGTCATTGGCATGCTCTCCAGCTCCAGTGTACATCGGCAGACTCTTTCTTTGCCCTCACCGGTGCCACATGATTTGAAGTGTCTCGCCAATGCTACCAGCAAGTCCAATTCAATCAAAAGGACGCGAAGCTGAGAACTTGCTGCCGCATCGCCCCGACCCACTACATTATATAAGGCTCTCGCTTCTCCTTCTGGCCCGCGGCCCCCCACGGGGTAGATCCTAAACCGCGCTAGGGTCTCACTTTGGCTACATAGTCTGCCAGAGGCGCACTGTCCCAGCTGCCAAGCTTCCGTGCATGCGTACGTACAAAGAAAAAAGACAAAAGAAACACAAGGGTTGGTTTCTCTCGCAGAAGTCTGGAACTTGTCCACCCACGCCTCCAGGCTTTTTGCATTAGGTAACAATCTCCAGATTGCTTCATCGTCGCAGATCATGGCATCACTATCGCGATTCATCCATTCTCCACGCATATGCACCATGCTTACATACACATACACATGTACTCCCTGCTTGCACAGATGGTGGAACTGTCATGAGGCGATGAAGTATACAATGTAGGCGCAAAGGGCCCTTCATGCTGTCTCAAAAGGGAAGACAGCAGCAGGTCGTCGTCTCTCAACGTAGCCTGCTTGTCGATGACGTAGGGCCAACGGCAGCTCGTTGCGCCCTTTGGAGGAACATCGGGGTGCTGTGAGAAACGGGGTTTGAAAGAGCGTTCGACGTTGCGCATAGTTTTGGAGGTGCAGTTTTCGATCTCGAGATTCAAAAGGCTTGGGAGCGGGGACCAATACCCAAACTTTGTTCACTGTAGACAAAGCTCGCATTGGCATGCAAGTGTGATTGGCCCATGCTGCAAAGCAAGGTAGACGCTGAATACTGGCGCACTCTTGAATCCTGAACACGAACGCACTGATGAAACACGAATCATGCAACGGGGTGTTCAGGCTAATGAGCAGGATGTACAAGTCTACAATCGCAGCTCGTCTCACTCGGGCCCTGATGTTCAGCCTGGCTCACACACATATGCGGGTGGTATGAGGGCGGGCGGAAGATTTGATGCAGCCCACGCAAAAGTGTGGTGCATAGTGCATGCATACAATGGGGCAGAACAAAGTTTTTCGCGACGATACCTCCGATGGACCAATCCTTTTTACGGTTCCACGCCGGCCCCTCGCAAGGCTCGACTTGTTCTGAGGTGTGCGTGCTCAAGGGCTGTGATGAAGTTTCTCGCCAGCGCAAGATAGTCAAGCAACAGTCAAGCTTCAAGCGCCGAGGCGCATCTCCCTCCGAGTGGATTTGCAACCCCAAATACACAGTGTCTCTGAAGGCGCCCCACATGCAGCCGCGCGAGGCGTTGACCCACGACAGGGAGTCGATGTACAAATTTACATACGATTCGATGGAAGTGCTGCGCAGCTTGGTGCAAAGGGAGTCGAGCGTTCAGCCTGTATGAATCTCCAGTTGTAAGCGTGGCATACGAGGTAAACGACGTGAGCGGAGGTCGCTGGGGAGGTCTTTACCCGCACACATGATCATCGACTTGGCATGTCACGCTCGCCGTCCGCAGTCAAAGACCTTGAGCGCGCAGCTGTGCGAGCTTCCATATGATGAATAGCTCGCAGAAACCACCAGCGAAGGGGGCAGGTCTTGCATTCGGCAGGTGGTGCGTGGCTCGTGCAAGTGGCCAGTCTGACGAGCACAGGCGCTATCCTGCGCAGATGTGATTCAAAGAAGCGCCGTCCGCATGTGTGGCTGTCCGCGCTATACACCCTGCCGGTGTCTGCCATTGCACATTCCACACGCTCTCCCACGGGCCCGAGCGAGCGCGGCTGTTTTTGGACAAGATGCGATATTCAAAAGCACACGAAAGCACACATGTGCGGCCGCGCCATCCGCATCATTCAGCAGGATCATTACGAAAGAAGACCGTGTCGTGCCCGCCTGCATCCGCATCAAACGCACCCGCATCCATGCTGGCTGCAGTTAGGGCGAGCGAGCAGTGGAGGTCCGCAGCGCGTGGTGGAGCACACTGCGAAAGTCATCTGCGAACCTCGCAAGGCGATGTGGAAGTTGCAACAGTTTAGCGGGGGAGGTCGAAGCGAAGGTGAGGGCGTGGCAAATCGGAACGCGGAACTCAGGCGCTGTGTGTGTGATGAGGGCACGACCCACACCTGCGAGAATTTTCTTCAGCGCAGTAGGCAAGAGAGTGTTCTCATGCCCGTTGCTGCTGACTGCCGCTGCTCCTGTGGCGGCGGCACACTACTTCTGAGTTGCGCCCGTATCCGCTGCTCCCCGCTCCAATTTTCTCTCCCTGCCTGCCTGCCTGCCTGCCTGGCTCGCTCACCAACAACACCTTCTTCGCGAGCACATCTCTACCACACTGCTCACCTCGAGCTCTCTCGCATCCAAGCGCCATCCCAGGACCCGTTCTTTTGTTATTGTTGTTGTTGTCGTCGCGATTCAGCAGGAACCACCGCCAAGATGCTTGTAAGTCCTTTGCCTCTGGCGCGGGCGCATCATTCCAGTGTGCACTGCGCTTTGTGCAGGAGGGGGAGCGGTCTGCTTACGTTCCTCTCCACTGCAGCTCTTCACCGACATTATCACCGACGATGAGATGCTCACCGACTCCTACGACATGTGAGTGATTCGGTTCCTCGTGTGATTTTGCTCGCGCACCCAGGCCGCTCCGCTAATGCTGCATCTCCCCGCCTCTGCTCCCTGCAGGAAGGAGATCAACGACATCGTCTACGAGGTCGACGGAAAGCAGATCGTCATCCAAGAGGGTGACGTTGACATTGGAGGCAACCCATCTGCTGAGGAGCAGGCCGAGGCCCTCGAGAGCGGCGCCGAGCAGGTTATCGACGTCGTCCACTCGGCAAAGCTGCAGCAGACCTCATTCGACAAGAAGGGGTACCTTACCTACCTCAAGGGCTACATGAAGTCCATCAAGAACAAACTCCAGGAGTCCAACCCGGACCGCGTCCCGGCGTTCGAGAAGGGTGCCGCCGAGTTTGCAAAGAAGATCGTCGCCAACTTTAAGGACTACGAGTTCTACACTGGAGAAAGCATGAACCCGGATGGGTAAGTTTTATTTTGTGCCCTTACCCGCATGCGGCTTAGCTCGGCGGCTATCAAGGCGTGGAGGACGGGAAAAATGTGATCGGAAAGCCACACTTTCCGCACACAACGCATCACAATCTGCCTTGCAAAGGTCCCACAGATGGAGGTTGTGAAGGAACGGGTTGAAGGTTCGCTGCAGGAGTGCTGCTGTGCATCGTGCTGACGACGCTGCGTTCGATCCCATTTCAGCATGGTCGTCCTCCTCAACTACCGCGAGGACGGCGTCACTCCATACTTCATCTTCTGGAAAGACGGCCTGAAGTCGCAGAAGATCTAATCCGGGGGCGCTACGCATCTCGAGGCCGGCCGAGCGGCGCCAGAGCAAAAGCACTGGGTCATCCTCTCTCCTTGTCGTGCCGCCCTGTCGCTCTACTCTATGTGGTTCACTGCGATGTGTCACCGAAAAGCAATTGCATCATGCTTTGGTCTGGGGCTCCTGATACAATACATGTCCGTCCGGCGACGTGGCGCAGTGGCGCATGATGCTCATCGGGTGGGGGCGCACACATCAGCTGAAGAACGAGCGTGCATGCCATATCGAAGGAAGCAGCCGCACGTTGCAGGATCACCTCGGGGCTGAAAGCGTGCATGGCGGCATCTCCCGACGCAAGTAGAATTGCTCATTTTGCCCAGAGGACCCTCTTAGAGGCGGTGTGCACGCGGGTCTTGAGTATTCGAATCCTCTTCCGAGTATGCACCTCGGCAAGCTTGAATTCGTTTCGGGCGACAGACAGCGTTGACGGTGAGAATTGAATCCATTAGGAACGCTTGAAGCAGCCTCTCCTGTTTTATTTTCCTCGAGCGTGCGGCATGAGCCGGTTCGTCAATATTCTATGTCCTCCGAACCGAACTCACTGGGGAGCCATGGATGTCGTTGCCGCCGTGGTCACATCCGTCCACTCGGCCGCAAGTCGTTCAGCGTCCGTCCCGTGTGAAAGCACCGTGCACACAGCAATCGATGGCAGCTGGCGGTGCAGTTGGTGACTGCGTTTCTGTAAACGAGACCTCATTGAATTTCGGAACGCTGCAGAGAATCTTCTGCGGGCCAACTCGCAACTCAGTGTGCCATGCCGGTATTGCCGCCTGCTCGGCGAGCCGCGCTTTCGTCCGGCCTTGACGCCTTTCTCGCATCTAGCTCCAGCTCCAGTCTGGGATTGACGATCTTGTATTCGAATAAGCCGAATTGGCCGTTTAAATCAGCTCGCGGCCAGGCCAGCGATGAGGGAACAGCCGCCGGAAAAGAGACGATCGATATTGCTGTCCTCGACTCGTCCTTTAACCCTCCTACACTCGCCCACAGAGCCATCGCTCTAGGTCCTGCGCTCCTCGTTTGTCGCCCGGGCTCATCAACTGTAGCAGGGGATTCGACACCAATTGCGTCGGCCGACCCAAAGCCCGAATATGACGCGCATCTGCTCCTCTTCTCCGTACGGAATGCAGATAAAGGCCTGGGCCGGAGAGGAGACGCGTCTCAGCTGCAACGATTAGAGATGATGGAGCTGCTCGCAAAGGAGATTGAGGCTTTTTTGCGCAAAAAGACTACAGGGCAATCGATGGATGCTGCTGATGACGGTAGCGGCGGCAGCTCCATCGCTGGCGCCGCTTACGAACCAGCCGTCGCCGTGGGCATCGTTGACCCGCCTTTGATGTTCGAAAAGTCGACACTGGTGCACAAGTACATGCAAGATCTGCTGCGAAAAGTGGCACCGAACACTGCCTCGCCTACCATCCGACTGCATTGGCAAGTCGGCATGGACACTTTGGAACGATTCTTTGCACTTCGATACTATCCTTCCACCCAAGCTTTCCACGCCTCTGCCGAACGATTCTTCAACAAGGAAGGGACGACGTTTGTCGTCGCGTCTCGCGTCCCGTCAAGCTTACCTGGAAAGAGCATGGAGAACGAATCAGAAGAGCAGCTGCTCCGAAGTGAGCTCGTGCAACCGTGGGTCGAGCAACACAAAGTTGCGCTTTGGCAGCTTCCGACAGAGGTGCAAGGTTGCAGCAGCACAGACGTCCGCAAGCTGTATCGGACTGATGGGGCCACCTCGACCGAGGAGCTCATACGGCAGCAGCAGCAAAAGGTTCCTGCAAGCATTGCCCACTACCTCGATCAGGAGCGAGTGTACGGCGAAGCGAGAAGAATCCCGCCTCCATAGCGTCGCTGGCTCGTACAATTATTTAAACCGCTAAAGGGGTAAACTTTCACCCCAATCATGTTCAGGAGCTACATGTTTACTAGAATCCTAGCTTGATTTGGATGCAGCGCAGTAGCTGATGTGTCGAGCGTAAAGGCGTCTTCCGCTGGACTCAAGATGCTATTTATACCGCCTCGCAAGCAATGAAAGCCCCCGAGGTCCTATACGGTCTACCGTTCCCTGTTCGCCAGCTTTCTCCCATTCGAAGCTGCCCTTTCTAAACGCAGTGTCGAATCAAAGTACCACAACCTGTTCCACCACACTGATCCGTACTCTGAATGAGCAATCGTTCGACACCGTATTCTAACTTGCCGGATTCCAAATTCCACCGCCGAATGGAGTCAATCATCCGGATTGGGGAATAGCAACGCGCGTCTCAACCAGACATGTCGACCTCGAGCGGGAAGCCATCAGCAGGCGACTTTCTGGTGATCTTATGCACAAATAAGGAGCAGCTTCGACAAGCGTACGAAGTCCGAATAGAGGTGTTTCACAAAGAGCAAGGATTCAGTTTGGAGAGCGAAGTAGATGAGTGCATCCGAGCGCAGCCCTCTTTCCATTCTTGCTGCAATGACGTGTCTGACCTCAATGGCTTGGATGCAGGTATGACCTGATCAGCGCTCATTTCATTCTTGCTTGCAAGAGCGACCCTAAAAGAGGCCTCGGGACCATTCGCTTCTCTCCCTATCCTTCGGCAGGCTCACTCAACAAAGTGGAGGGCCTCCCAGCAGACACACCGCTCGGTCCTCCTCTCACGGAAGACCAGATTGCAACAGCGTTCGTAAAGACCGGTCGCATGGGAAAAAGCGAAGACCTCTTGCAAGCAGGAGCCAAGCTGGGTCGTCTCGCGTTGCTTGCTGAATTGCGAGGGTCAGGCTGGGGTAGGTTGCTAGTCGAGCAGGGCGAGGCCTGGCTCGCTAACGCTCTCCGGAGAGCGGCCGCAAATTCGAAGCACTCGGATGCAGTATCGATGTGCAACATTCGTCTGCATAGCCAGATGCCCGTTCGCGCAATGTACGAGAAGTGGGTACTCTATTGACTTTCGCGAAAGGCTCTCACAGCTGATGGCACCCGTCCCTCACATCCGCAGATTTGGGTACAAGGGCGAAGGCGAGCCATTCGATGAAGACGGAGCACCACACATGCTGTACACAAAGACATTGCCATTGTAGAATTTATCATAGGCTCAATCTCAACGTATCCACTACCCTTGCAGTCGTCATTGAAGGAATGGGTGGGGTGGGATGGGGAGATGTCAAGGCCTAGGCGTGGGAGTACACCTGGGTAGGAGGAGCAGTATATAAGGACGCTAGCGTGTGGGACAATGGTGTTGCTTGTGTTATTCTCCTTCGAGCACGCACGTAACCCTCTCCCTTCCGTCCACGTTTACACCGATCACCACACCAGCACTTGAGCAACTTGGCATCCTACAACCACATGTCCCATCGAACAGGTGGACTGCACCTGGTCCCTTCGCTGGCTGCTCGAACCTTGCAAAGTCCTCAAGGTTGAAACAAACGGAGCCCGACGCAGTGACCTTGCCTTTCCCGTGACCACTCGCCAACGACCGACATGCTGACCGTCGTCACTGACAGCGACACATTTTCGCTGAGCGTGGACACTTCCATCACCGTGGAGAATCTGAAAGCCATCCTGGAAACTGATGTGCGTCGAAGCGGGCATGAAGGACATCTTGACTCGGAAAGCTAACACCTTGTCGCTTCGACAGTCTGGCATCCCTGCGGCCAAGCAAGTTCTGACATTCAATGGTCGGGTTCTTTCGGACGATAGCATATCACTTGCAGCATACAAGATTGCGGATGACGACCTCTTGATATTAGCGCAGCAGGATCCGGCGGGAGGCAGCAGCAGCTCTGGTGGTGGCGCGGCCAAAGGATTGCCTGCTGCGCGGCAGCCAACGGAGGACGAGATTGCGGAGGAGCTGCGAAGTCAGATCCAAGCGAATCCGCAAGCCATGGCACAGTTGCGAGAATCTCATCCTCAGATTGCCGATGCAGTTGCTTCGGGAAACACTGCTCTCTTCAAGCGATTCATCGATCAGCAGCGCATGGTCATGGCATCGAGCATGCCCGGTCCATCGCAAGCGATGATGGAGCTTGCCAATGCGGACCCGTTCGACCCAGAGGCTCAAGCAAAAATCGAAGAGACGATTAGGCAGGAAAGGGTGCTAGAGAACATGGAGCATGCAATGGAGTACTCTCCCGAAAGTTTTGGGCGCGTGACGATGTTGTACGTCGACACGACTGTCAATGGCACCAACGTCAAGGCGTTTGTGGACAGCGGCGCGCAGGCGACCATCATGTCCCCCGAGTGTGCCGAGCGATGCGGGTGAGTTTCTCTTGAACAAGCTCTGTGCTGGAAGATGCTTAGACAAATTTGCGCAGGATCATGCGACTGATCGATCGACGTTTTGCGGGCATTGCTCGCGGCGTCGGCACAGCCAAGATCCTCGGTCGCGTGCATTCTGCCCAGATTCGCCTGGGCGAGAGGCTCTATTTGCCGTGCTCATTCACGATCATGGAAGGCAAAGGCGTCGAAATGCTTTTCGGTCTAGACATGCTCAAGCGCTTCCAAGCTATCATCGACCTCAAAGAGAATGCGCTGCTGGTCGGAGACGAGAAGATCCGCTTCTTGGACGAGCACGAACTTCCCGCGAACGCAAGGCTTGACAATGCGGGCGAGGACGAGGAGGATGTGCAGCAGCAAACCCAGGGCACGAGTCAGGCAAGCTTAGGTATCGGTGTTGACGAAGCCGCCAAGCGCAACGCAGAGGCAGCAGCAGGCTCGGCGATGCGGATTGGCAACTTGCCTATTCAGGACCAGTCGCTAGCGGGCAGCTCTCGCTTTCTCCAAGGCATCCCTGGCAGCGGCTTCTCATGGGAGCACAAGCCCAATGGTTCGGGCTCTAAGTCAACTGCAGCGGCTTCAGGATCCGGGTCAGGATCAAGCTTGACCACAAGTCAACTCCAAGGCGTTTCTCTAGGTAGCGCGCCAGGTAGTTCCGCATCCGCATCCGTAGCCGAAAGCCAGGCGGCCGGAGCGGCATCAGGCGGCACCAACAAGTGGCCGGCCGCATCCATCAAAAGCCTCGTAGACCTTGGCGCAACAGAGAAACAAGCGGGCCAGCTGCTCGACGCTGCCAGCGGAAATTTAGAAGTGGCTGCAAGTTTGCTGTTTCAGGGGTAGATGATGTACAAAGAAATGGGTATCTTGGCTGCTCATCTATGCTACAGAGAACTTTAAGAATGTGGGCGTGAGAAAAATGCTTGGATTAGCCTTCTGTACCTTCGAATGAACTCAGGGCTCTGCACCAAAGAGGTAGAGCAGCTCGACCCAGCTGAGCTGACTCTTCTTGCCCTTTTGCAACCTCTCGCCCGTCAGCGCTGAATTCGCGAGCTCGCGTTTCTTCTTTTGGATGTCCAGCAGGCGTTGCTCCACGCTGTCTTTGACCGAGAGCTTGTAGATGCGTACGGCGCGCGTCTGGCCCAGTCGATGTGCGCGATCGAAAGCTTGCTCTTCGATCTGCGGGTTCCACCACAGGTCCATCAGCAGGACCCGGCTGCAACAAGTCAAGTTGAGACCCGTGCTGCCGGCTTTGAACGAGATGAGAATTATCTTGCAATCGTCGCGGTTCTTGATTGTATGCAGGGCTGTTTCGCGCGCATCGGGACGCATCGAACCATCGTCTACAATGTGCAATAAGCCGTACGTAAGAGTGAGTCCAAAACCTCGGTAAATTATCGGTGGCTGCACTCACAGCGAACATAGTTGAGGCCCTCTTCCTTGAGGAAAGGCTCGACGAGGTCCAAAAAGCTGGTGAACTATCCACACAGAAGACGTTCAAAAGTCAGCTCGCGAAGTGTGAAGAGGTTTGAAGCAATGTCGCTCGCCTGACTGAACACGATCGCCTTTTCGGCTGGTGCATCCTTGTGGAAGTCTGTCAACATGCGAACCATCGTGTTGATCTTGGTCGATGTACGCCCAGGACTGAGCCAATCGCGGCCGGAAGCAGCGGAGCGCTTGATGGCTTGCTGGCAATCCTCGCACCGAGGGCCGGAGCCCGGTCCGAGCTGTACACGACACATGTCGCAATTCTGCCCGACTGTGAGACCGGCAAGCGCGCTGACCAAGTCATCCGCCTCATCCGTGTCGCTTGCGTTGCTGCCCGTCGTCTTGCTTTGGATCTGGTTGCTGCTGCTACCCGCAATCGACTTTGACGTCGAGGAGCCGGGAGTGCTGGCTAAAGCGTCGACAGCAATATTCTTCATCGTTAGCGCGGGATGACTGCAAGCCTGCCGCAAGCGCAGCAGCATGACGAGCGCACCCATGCGATTGATCTTGCCGTCCTCTTGCTGCGCCTCTTTCAGCGTTTCCTGCATCTTGCGCTCGAGCGCGCTGTAAAACTCACGCTCGGCCGGGTCCTCAAAGTCGGTCTCCACGATCTGCACCTCCCTCGGAGGCAGGCTGAGGATCTTCTTTCCCTCATGCTCCGCGTCCTTTGTCCTGCGGAGCATGATGGCGCCGAGCACAATGCGCAGGCGCTTCAGCCCCCAGTTGATGCGATTCTGGTTTGTGCTCTGCAACGGCTCGCCGATCTTCTCCTTGAAGTGCCGGTATTCGTTGAAGGGAGGAATCCCGAGGAAGTGAATCAGCGAATATAGCTCGTAACTCGTGTTCTGGATTGGCGTGCCTGACAGACACCACTTGGCGTGCGCTTTGCGACTGAGCGCGTAGCTGGCCAGCGAGCACTTTGCACGATGGTTCTTGATGTTTTGCGCCTCGTCCAGCACCACGCGTAGCCAATGCATGTCGAAAAGAGGTGCAGGAGCGCACGTCGCCTTCTTTGGCATGCGCCTAGTGCCACCCATCTTCGCCTTGGAACCTTTGGGCTTGCTAGGCGACCTGACCCTGAGCGCAATCGTCTGTCGCCCGGGGCCTTTGACGACCTCGACACTACTGTCACTGTCGTCTTTGCCGTCGCCGCTATCATTGGCACTATCCGAGTCGCTGCTGGAATCCCACTCCGGTTCCTCTTCATCTTTACCCTTTCCCTTTCCGTTCCTCTTCGACTTGACTGACTGCTGCCCCTCGAGTGTGTTGCCCCATTCAGCTGCGGCTGTGGTGTATGTTGTGATGACGACATCGTAGCCTTTCAGCGACTCTGCCGACTTGGCGCGGCCGGTGCCATGATGAACATAGACTTTGAGGCCGGCATCGCTCTTTGTCTTGATCTCCTGCTCCCACTGCCGAATGACTGCGAGCGGAGCGACAATGAGCGTGGTCTGGCTTTTGAGCTCAATCTCTCGCCGGCTAGGCCCATTCCCTGCGCCGCTGATGTCGCTATTTGCCTTTTTACTATTCGCAGACTTGGCAGCCTCTTCGATGTAGCGGATTGTTGAAGTTTCCAGACTCGGTCGATTGCTGACAATCAGCGCCAGCGTTTGCACCGTTTTCCCGAGGCCCATATCGTCTGCCAAGATGCCACCTTTCTCTTTTCCTTTCTCGCGCTGCACCATCCAGTTGACGCCTTGGATCTGATGCGGCATCAGCTCACAGGTGAGGCCTGTGATGCGAGACCGAGCAGGATCTACATCGGACAAGTCGACCATGTTCGAGATCATTTCTTGCAGCTGTCTGTCCCGCTCTTCAGGTTTGATCATCGGCCCCCCATAAAGCGATGGTTTGGGTCCTTCGCCCAGAGGATCAGCGTCTAGCGGCCGCACCTTATTCGTGGGATGCGTTGTGGAGTAGACATTATCGGCAGGTGGCTTGTAGCCGTGGAGTGGGTGGTATATCGGTGCAGGCGGCTGTACCGGATTGTTGCTCTGAGATACATTCGGCTGGGAGAGCGGTTGCTTGAATTGCTGCTTCACATTGGTCAGGAAGTGTTGTGCAGAGGATAAAACCGGGCGCACAGTATTCACTGCAGTGCCTGGCTGCGGGCGTTGACGCGGTGCGTTCTGTTCTGCTGCGGTCATTGTTGGTGGGGGACGCCGCGGCGGCTCGTGATCGTCTAGAATCTTGATGACAGCTGCGGGGGTGTGCTTGTCACGTCGAGGAATGTGCACGTAGCGCTCTCCGTTGGGACCCCGCTGTTGCTGTTGAGGTTGGCTGTGGTTGCTGCTGCTACCGCCGCCTCCCATGCTCATGCTGGGGCCGTGGTGCGGAGACGAGCTGTTTGAAGCCGCTGGCCTCGATGCTGAATATGAAGATGGCGCAGTGCCAGGAACATTCTGCAGAGCCGCAGGGTGCCGGGGCGGTGCGAAAGATGCGTCCCGGGCCAGGCCGATCAAGTCCCCTTGCTGCGCTACTTCGATCGCAGGCATTGGTGTGGCCGTGTCGAAGCCGCGTCCTGCAAATGTCGGTGGCCGGAATGGACGCGGGGCAGCTGCGTATCTCCGTCTCGCCTGATCTTGGCGGTACGACTCCATGGACCGGTGACTGTGTAGATCGAATGTGGCTGTGGCCGTAAGACCTGCAAGGGAAAGAAAGGATCAGAGAGATGCAAATGACGAGGACGACCTTGCAGCGCAATGAAGCAAAGAGCAGCTATTGTGATTGAGTTGTGCCATCATGATGCGCCGCGAGATGTTCGTCACGTGACCTGCTCCAGGCGGGTCAACCACAGGGCTGATGAGCACTTGGTGGATAAGCGATGGGGCTTACATAATCTGGTCGCAGACGCAAGCATGTGAACGGAACCTTGGCCGAAGGCGGCCCTGACCCTGTCCAGTCTGTCGACTCAGCTCGCAAAGCTGCACTACTGTCTGCTGTACAGTGAGGCTAACGGCCGACTGTCGACGTGTGCAGCATCGAGCAGGGTTCGAGGGCCGAAAATGTGGATTCTGGAGGCAAGCTAAGCTACAGGCGAGCAGCGAATGTACAATGTCGTCGGCTAGCTCTCAACGAGGACCAACGGACGAGGCGCCTGGGGCTGCAGAGCTGCTCACATAGCGCGAGCCAGGCAGCGCTCGCATTGCAGCGGCAGGCACAGCAGCAGCAGCGCCAGCGCCTCTGCGACCAGCGCCGACGCCAGGGCTCATCGGTCGCGAGTTCGTCTCCGCTGGCATGACATCGCTGTGGACGCCAGATGGGAAGCCAAAGAATGAATTGGCGTGCGACTGTACGCTTCCCGGCACTGAGTCATTCCCCAGGGTCCCGACCCGCATCGACTTGAGGGGTGAAGCGGTAGATGAACGGCGAGAGGGCCCTCCGCCCGTCACCCGTCGCCTGCCTGTCTGACTCGCTGGACCAGGTGGATAGACGCCGTTGCGATCCGGGAAGCTCGCCCCACCAGCGTGCTGGGCGCTTTCGGGGCTGAGCGAGAAGGTGCGATCGCTGGCCTGCGACGCTAGCATGGCTGCACGGCGCGTGCGCTCGTGCCGGAGCTGCACTGAGCGGAAGTGAAGCAGCAGCTCGTTCCATCTGATCTGATCCTCGCGCCCAAGCATCTTGCTCCGCGTTGAGCCTGCCGCGCTTGAACTCGACGCGCTGCCGGGCCCACTTGTGCCGCTCGACCCTGCCGGAAAGCTTGCGCGTGGAACGGTTTGTAAAAAGCCGAGGCTGCTGACGGCGTTCAGACGGTTTCGTAACGTCGCAAAGGCTGAGGATTGTGGAAGCAGCATCAACAGTCCATACAGACATTTGAATAGAAATGGGTAACGCTCCGGTTCAAGGAGCTGAAGCCGAAGCGAGGTAAACACCGGGCTTTCGAGCAACTGAACCAGCTTGTCGATCTGGATTAGCAACGGGACCGTGATTTCGAGGTCTGCAAAGATCGACAGCAGATTGCTGGCATGTTCGTACGCTTGCGCGAGCAGACACAGGCTGAATGTCGCCACGGCGTTGTGCGACCACGAGCGGTAGAGGCTGGAAAAGAGCGTCGAGCCGTCTTTGGTCTCAAGATTGCGCAACCGCTTACGAAAGTCGGCGAGCTCGGGAGACGTGACGAGGATGATGTTCAGATTCTGCACCATAATACTCGCAAACTCGAGATCCTCCTCCCGCTCGAGAATCTCAGCCATAGTACGGAAAATGCGCTCCGTATGCAGGCTTGAGCAGAGCTGTCGGATGATCAAGCTGCCGCGCGTCTCGAGCAGCCTTCGATCAGTGCTGAAGAGGCTGAGTAGATTCGCCATGAAAGAGTAAAAGTAAGTGTCCTCGGAAGCGCTGCTGATTTGCGCGAGCAAGCGCAGGTCGCCCTTGATCACATCCTCGCTGGGATCCGAGAGCGTCTTGAGCAGCGCCGGAAACGTGCCATCATCCATGACCAGGATCTTCCGTGGCGCCTTTTGGTGCAACATCAACAGCCACTCTAGCGCAGTCACACGCGTCTCCTCGTGTTCGTCCAGCAGTTGCAGCGTGAGCGAGATGACGGTGGCATGATAGTCGAACAGATCAGCTTCGATATTGCTTGGGTAGTCCACTCCATCGAATGCTGACACCGGCGGAGGCTGCGGGGAAGAAGCAAAGCTGCCGAAGGAAGTCTGCTTGGGTGTCGCAGAATCCGCTGCACTTGAGCGTCCGCTTTCGTGCTCGAGTGCTGCTGCCAGCGGCTGTGCACGGATCCTCGGTGACAGCGGTGGCACCTGCATCTTGCTAACTGGGGCCTTGACATCCTTTGACTCCCGCGCTGCAGCGCTTGACAGCGGCCGATTCGGAGGAGGCATGCTTGGAGGGGGTTGCGAGGGGGCTGGCAATTGCTGAATGACGCGATACAGGTTGATGTTTGTTGCATTTGCGGCAGCTTGGATTGCCGGGCTGTGATGCGCGATGAGTGGGAGGATGCTGGGTATAATGCGCGGTGTGAAGGGCACAATGACATCAGGCACGACGAGCAGCAGCTCCGAGATCCAATGCAGCGCGGTAGCCTGAATCTCCTCGTCTGCACAAAAGAGAGTAAAGTTAATGTGTTAGAAGAGAGGCGTGACACAAGCGCAGAGGCAGCTAAACATGTTCACCAGGAAAGGAGATGTGGTTGAGAAGGATCTCCAAGATCGCAGCGTAGTTTACGCGCACCTCGTGCCCGGGGACCCAATCCTCCAGCATTGGCTCCTCGAAGATCTGTGTGCCTTCCTCGTCATCTTCAACCTCATCGTCATAGCTGGTTCGGTCGTCTTGCGCGCTCTCTCTTTCCACAATGCTCTGGTCACCGGCTGGTGCCTCTGGTTGGGCGCCAGTATCAGGTGTGGCACTTGCAGCCGAGTCAGCTTCAGCAGTAGGCGCAGGCTCTGTCGAGCTAGCTGCATCTTCTGGCGAAGCTTGAGAGGAAGGTTCTAAGGACTTGGCGTTCGATGTGCTTACTGAGTCAGCCGCGTCACTTGCTGCGCCTGTCGTTGGCGAAGCCGAGAGAGAAACCTTCGTCGTTGCATTTGCACTCTTGCGCCTGGGGACAGGCTTGATGATCGTATTCGGCCTTGTACGGGGTTGCACAGCTACTTGCACGCCATCGGTGCCAGGCGAATCAATGGCAGCATCCTTTTCTTTCTTAGCCGAACGCTGTTGCTGCTGGGCCTCTGCGTACTCGATTTGCTGCCGCTGATGCTGCCGTATTCGCTCCCTCTTCTCCGCCGCATCCTTTATCTTCTGCAAAAAGTCCGCCAGGACATTCGCCGTTGCGACGCGGACGTCCGTGTTGGGGTCGCTCAGGTACTTGAGCAGGCCGTCGAGGAAGGCAGGCAGGAAGCTGACGAGCTCCAGCTGCGGGATCGAGTCAAGGACCGTGATCCAGCTGACGAGAAAATTCCGGGTAAAAGGAGAGAGGACGTAGATCCTCTCCGAAAGCAGAGGAATGAATTGTGCGAGACTGAACATCTTGTTGGCTACCATATCCGTCTGGGCTCTGTCAAGCGCCTCTTCTCCAAAGGAAAGGTGGGAGAAGCGCTCTGCGGCTACCTTTTGACGCCCGACATCGAGCTCTGCATCACCGCTGATGGAACCATTTCGCGCATCCTGCTGGGCACGAATGCGCGACAGGTCTTGCGTGCGCGAGACATAGTGCGGTGCGGCCTCGCAGACGATGTCCTTCAAGAGCCGGTCGAGCAGCTCGGCGCCATTCTTGACAGAGAGCTCCGAGTCGGCTGCAAGCTTGGATAGCGCATCGAAGATTTCGTTAAAGAAGATGAGAATCTCGCCTTTGCAGACTTTTGCAATGTTGTAGAAGCTCTCGCATGCAAAGTATCTGAACAGGGGCATGGGGACACAATTGAGCCAATGAGTAGCATCACCCGCAGCCTACCCGAAACGCACCTGATCTTGCTATCCGGGTCGATGAAGCACTGCAGGATGGGCGGCACGACCTGCTGCAAATAAGGGGCGATCTCTTGGCCAAGCGCAATCCCAAGACCAGCGAGGCCGATCAAACCCCCGTTGCGGGCATTGACATTGTTCGGGGAGGAGCTTAGAAGCAGCGCACACAGCTGCTGGACGATGGTATCGATCTTTGAGCGTTCCCCTCGCACCAGAGCCTCGCGCACCTGTCGCTCCAAATCCAGAGTGGCAGCTTTGCGGCGCTCATAGATGCGATCCAGCAGCGCCTTTTGAATGTGCGCCTCCATGGTGCTGGTACCGTGTAGCCGTTCCTCAGTCGAGTTCAAGGTGAATGACGCGAATCGCGCAAAGCAGTCCGCACCTTTCGCCTTACACCTAGCGCTCAGCCGCCAGTCCAAAGATCATTGCCTCTGCAGACTCTGCCTTGGAAGGCGTGAGTGGTAGAGCGATTAGTAAATGCGAGGTATGATCACTAAAGAATCGAGTTGCAATCATCATCTTGTGAGTGTGGGGCCATGATGCTTGCAATTGCGGTTCGCTCTACAAGCGCGCGGGCGGCCATGTTCATCAATCAACATTTTCGCTGCTACTCGACACTCCTCCGCCATCCATCGTTCGCTTCCTACGCTCAGCGCTTTCGTTTTCGTCTACACGTGGCGCGATGCTTCCCAGAGTGTCCGTATCGTAAGCAATGATTTTGGAGCCTCGGCGACTCCTTGCTGAGAACGCAGCCCTTTGGGAGCCTCCTGGACGGCGAGGAGCCAGTATGCACATAGGGGCTCTGGAGCAATGGTGTCACTTCTCCGTATTTTCAGCCTTCCAGCGATCGGAGCGGCTTTGATCCTGCTGCTAATCTGCGTCAGTGAGTAATGACATAGAATGCGCACAATCCAAAAGGCTGTCACTTAAGGGGATTGCCAGCAACTGCGCGAGCGATTCCAAATCAATGTTGGGCGTTAAACTTGAATTCCCTCGATTCTCGCAGCTCTTGGTCTGATCAAGGTGTGCGATTTTATCGAAAATCATACACGGTCAGCAAAAAGGCTCTTCCAGCGCATCGCTTCTGTGCGTCATCTCTAAGCTACAGTCTCGCCGTGGGATTTTCTCCATTGCTGACTGCGCACTTGGTTCATGACGTAGGCCTCTATTGCCTTTCTTTTGCTGACTTGGCTCGTGGACTCATTGCCAAGTGGCATGGTCGGACTGTGCATCCTGTCTCAATTAGCACATCTGTCTATCCTTCGCTCCAGCCCGTCCTGGCCTTTTCAGCATGGTGCAGTGGGGAACACATCCGCCCGAGCCGCAACGGCCCGCGGCTTCTTTTCTTGCGGCTGGCTACGGCTGTGGCTCGCATTCTCGCTCTCATTCATCGCGCACTTTTGCACAGCCCACTCCTTTTCGGCCCTGAAGCAAGAATGGGTCGATTACCACCGTCCTTTGAATGCACACAATCGACTGCCCGGAGGCCGGCTCGACTGGGATTTTGATCCCAGTCGCCGGCCACGCACGGAGGAGAAGACCGCCTCTGAGGTTGTCACGTTCTTCGCCCTTGGCGTCTGGTGCACCCCATTACTCATTTTCCTGGGGACATGCACGGCTCAACTCGAGCTTCCGCTGGGAAACAGGCACGGAAGATCTGCATATGATGCAATAGGAAGGTAACAGAGTGAATCTCACTCAAACGTGTGCGACTGGAGCATGTCCAAATGTCTATGTGCATATCGCATGCCGTCTGCATAGGTTGTCTTTCCGGGTGGACACCTTCGACTAATTGGGGCAGGACCGAGTTTGAGTGAGAGACGACATGGTTTCGGACGAAAGATGTACTCTTCGACTTCTAGGATCTCTCATCCGAATCGATGGTCTTTCACAGACAACGTCGACCCATTGGTTCAACGTACCGACCCAGAAAAGCCAGTGGAAAAAGCGAGAACGCAAGTGAAAGAGGGGATTGGTGCTGAGCTATAGCGGGTTGACTTTGTTGAAGCGTCGAATCGCTCCCGATGGAGCACGCTGACTGGGCTCAGCCGCATATTCAACGACCTTTCTTCATATGTCCTTATTTTGACAGGAACTAAACGGCTTGTATCTACGAGCTAGCGTCTGCCAGCCTACCCACGCGGACGGAAAGAGCCATATTGCAGCTTGAGCTCGCTATCCAAAGAACGTGCTATGCACCTTTCCTTTTGATGCGTGACACGTGAGGTCTCCTTTAGGCACTGATGATGATGCAAAAGATACATCCGTTTTGGGCGCCATTCTGAGGTGTCTGTAGAGCTGTTTGCAGAACTGTCCGCAAGCATTGCAACGAATAGATGTATCACACCTCGTCCAGCCAAGCAACCAAATGAATGCCGTGCCTGGTAGACTGGCTCCTAGCCGTTGGCCGGTATCAATTCCGAGACAGGCTCACAGCCGCTGGATCGACATCAGCGAGTCGCGCTTTGCACTTTTCTCGACGTTGATGCGTTAATGCTTGATGGTCAACCATCCCGGCGCAGCAAGGTCGGATCTCTTGGGCGGCGCAGGCGTAGCTGTGCGCGCACTGGTGATTGTCTAAGCGGCCCATCCACGTTCGTAGATGAAGAAGGCTGGTGAAGCGTGACCCATGAACGGTCGAGGTTCACGAAAGAGGCGATGGTCTGGTGTTGGACGTGGATGAGGGCCCATCAAGACGAGGGAGCGAGCATCCAATATGGTCTTCAGGGGGACTCTCGGCCGACAAACCACCCCCAATGCAAGAACAGCAGCACGCCCTTCGGTTCGGCGTCCGGCCGAGCAACAGGACAGCATAGCCGGATGGCGACGGTGACAACTGCGTTCGCTTTGAGCACTAGCCTATTCCATGCTATCGGTACCTTGCACATGCTTGCGGGTTCAAGCTACACGGAACAGACCCGACCACGTTCGCGTCCACAAAAGAACTTCCGCTGCAATGCTCCCTTTGCGCTTCATCTATGGTACCCGCAACATGCTCCCAGACAGCGCTCCACCCATCGTGCACCCCGACGTGCAGGTTCTGGACGATTACACTGTTCCAAAAACGGACCCGCACAGCACTCTGCTTCCACTGCTGCAAGCAGATCCAAGCGCACCACATGCACGATCGCCGCCGCTGCACAACCTGCCCGGCGGTCGCCTCTCGGAATGTCGGATTGCTTTCCGCACGACTAGAAAAAGCCAGGCGACGGCCGAGCACATCGATTGGATCAGTACGACGCACACCTTCCCGGCTGCATACCCACGAAGCCACGACTTTTCCACCACCCCTCTTTCGGCGGCGATCCGCATACCCAAGCCCATCCCTTCTTCGGCGCTCGCATCTCCTGAAGCTGAGAGAGCCTACGACGCGGCAAAACGTGCCGAGGATGCCAAGTTCTGGAAGGAGAACATACGCATCATCGACGATATGCAGACGTACTACCCGCCAAAGACCCAGAAAGAGGCACTGAAGATCGCAGAGGAAAGGGCAGGGAGGAAGGACCCTCAACTTTGGAACGTAATTCAGAGAATCGTACCCGTCAGGCATGATCGCGGAGGTGGTTTAGCGAATGGCAAGAGTAGGAGAGAGCCTGTGACATTACTTCTTGCACACGCTACAGGCTTTCACAAGGAAGTGAGCGCATCTGAGCTTAATCTTGTCAATCATTGGTCCTCTCTGATGAGCGTCCGGGTCTCCCCCCTTCAAACATTTTGTGCGCAGATCTACGAGCCATTCTTGAAGTATCTAGGACAACTCATCTCTGACAAATCTTTTGATGTCAATGGCGAAGTAGAGATCGAGGAGATCTGGTCTATCGACACTATGATATCTGGCGAGAGCGCCATACTGAACGGTGACTCACTCGGCGAAGCTGGTGAGTGCGCGAGTTCTCATGCAAGAATACATATTTCTTGACAAAAAGCTCCTCGTACGCACAGTAAGCTGGGCCGATGCAGCTCGTGACCTTGTTCAGTTTACTACGAACTATATTCCGCCTCTCAGTCCTTCTTCCGCATCGAGCCGCTCAAATGCAACATGCAATGAAGCTTCTGCGAGACTCATGTGGCCTCCAACTGTGCTCGCTCGCACCTACCACCCGGCCGAATCGCAGATGGGCGATGCCACCGTCATCTCACCATCCTTGGGCTCCTCGCCCGCAACATCCGCCCACGCCTCACGGCCCAACGCACGTCGTCGGCGGATCATTGGCCTGGGACATAGCTACGCCGGTGCCGCGATGGCACTCGCTTCGAATGCTTACCCGGACATCTTCGAGCGTGTCATCCTCGTCGATCCGATCCTTATCTCGCCAGATTTTCTCAGCGTGCAGGTGCACTTTGAGAATGAAGGGAGGAAAGAGGTAGCACAACAACGAGCGGCGGACAAACCCAATCCGATTGGCTTGAGGAAGAGCCAGCCGCTCGCACTCAGTGCAAGCACGCGAAAAGACACATGGCGAGACCGGCGGGCCGCTGAGGCGTACTTTAACTCTCGGGCATTCTTCAAGGCGTGGGACCCTGCGGTGCTCGCTTCTCATATCCAATACGGTATCGTGCCGCTCAGCGCATGGGTGAAGGACGCACGTTCCGGCCGAGGCGGTGACGATGGTGGCCTCGATGAAAGCGGGGAGACAGAGATGGTAACGCTCGCCATGCCCAAGTTCCTCGAAGCGAGCTCTTTTAGCGCCTCGTGGAACTCCTCGTATGCATACGCTGCGCTGCTCTCTGGCCGCTTTAGACAGCATCACATGGCGGATACGCGCAAGGGACGAACATACTTTATGATTATGGAGCAGGGCAGCCGTTCGCTTCAGCTCGAGACGTTTGAGGGCGAGATGGAAGGCAAGAAGCCTGCCGAGGAAGGCGAGCCTGCGCTCAGAGGTCGGGTCGAAATGGTACCTGGTGGGCACCTCATTGCGCAGGAGCAGCCGTCCGTCTTGGGTGAGTATCGCCGAAGTTGTAGGCTTGAGGTGGAGTTAGAAACGTTTCTGAGCGTACACCCTGTGCCTATGTTTATGTCGCAGCTGCCAAGGTTCTCGAGTACATTCTCGACGGCGAAACAGTTCGTGGCGGCAGTACAATTCCGACTGCTCGACTCTAAGCTGCGACATTTATCCACTCTAGATGCAGGGAACATATTAGAAGCGTGTAACATAGCACGGAGGGGCGACAAGCAGGACAAGCAAGTATCGCAGTTAGAAAAAGAGATTGAGCCGTTGGCATTCATAAACAGCAGTGCCGTCCTAGGTGTCTTTAGGCGCAGGTATGGCTGTCCAGCCCTAGCTCAGCAGACTGGGCTGGCCGAGCAGCATGAGGGTTGCAAAATGGTCTGCAAGTAGCGCCGCCGGCACGTAGCCCCGTCGGTGAATGTAGCGCAAGCTTCGGCTGCCACCCAGACCGCACGTGGCCAACGTAGCGCCCTGTCCTGGCTGGTTGCACAGGTACAATTGTAGAGAGAGAGATACCTGCCCATGTGTTACCCAGCTCCGATCCATCCGCTGTGCCCGGCCATGGAGGCGCTGATGGCCTTTGGAATTTGAAATGCTCCCAGGTGGAATGGGCCCCAGCGTGTTTCAAAGCTGTACGCTGCTAAAGATGTGCACAACCATGCTGCGACCTTGCTATTCTTAATACCGCTTCACAGGTTGTCGAATCGAGAATCGAGGAAAGGGGGTATGGTTACTTGGGATCAGCACTGCAGTTATCCATCGCTTATCGCCTGTCCTACTATCATAGATCCGGTCCTTTAGCTTCGGCAGGCTTGGCCTTGCGCTTCAATTCCTCACCACACCTCGTTCGCTTGGCTGGCTGTCGTGGATGTGCTCGCCGATCACTTATAGACAGCTGCATGTACCACGTCTCACTTGTCGGAACGCCCAGGTCCCGAGCGAAAAGTGATGCGATTGCAACTTGAGCTCACTGATTCAGCGCAAACAAGTCCAGTCGCTGGTAGTCGAGCTCTTTCGTGTCTTCCCGAGGCTACGCACCGAGTGACCGACGGTCCACCCAAGCTGACACACTAAAGCTCCCTTTGTAGATGGTGCAGATGGAATAGAAATGCGACTGGGCACCACTCATTGCGCCGTGAAGCGTTGTGACGCTGAGGGGTTGAGGCACGCTGAAGCCTGCAGCATCATGGAGACATAGGCCGCTGAGACAGGCCAGCCAATAGAGATTTGAGGATCGATGATATCAAGTGCATAGCAGCACAAGTACGGTAATGTGTGTACGAGCCTTGTATTGGAGCCTCGACAAATCCAGGAGAGCGGACGATTGAAGGATGACCATGACGGGAAAATTCACAATCCACCTAAGGCGATGGTTCTGTGACAATTGCATGTACATCGAAATTCGCAAGAGGACCAGGGGCCATTTTCAAGGGCAGCTCTGGGCAGCCTCCTCTAGAGTCAAACAAATACAGCTTAGTCTGCGCGTTGCTCTTGCAGAACATCTTCGTGCACCTGGCGTCAGAGCTTCAAATCAGAGAAACAGTGAGATCTCAAAGTAGATCGATGCCTATTTTTGTGAATGGAGTGTCTTCATCAAGCATCAAAAGCGTGAAGGGTAATTGAAGGAACACCGGTGCGGTATCGCAGCACACTTCCTATTGCAACTTGCATGCTATCATGATGAAGTTACAGCGGTACCTAGGCCCTTCATGGAAAATGGATCTCGCGCAGACTGGTGCTGTTGCTGTTTCCATGGGTGGCCCAAAGAGAAATTAGCACGAGATCATGATGCGGACAAGAGGCACGCGTCTACACACCTGATACCATCGTGTGTAGTCGTCCCTCAGCTTTTCAATTTCCGAATGGATCGCAGCAACTTGCGCAGCAAGGGCCATGAAACTTGTATTTTGCGCATGAATAGCGTTTTCGATCGCTTGTGGAGAGTGCTCATCGCGATGCCCGATCGAGGATATCTGCCGCTCGATGCCTTCGACTGTCGCTCGATAGCGCTGCACGCGCTCGGAGAACTCTGCCGCAGCACGGGAGAAGTACCTGCCAGAAAAAAAGTCACAGGGGTACTCGGTCAGCTTGCCTCTACATCCGAACAATGTGGCGCTTGTTCCAGGGTACTGACATGCGAGGGAACATCCGCAGATGATCATTGTCCCCGCCATGGTGAAAGTTGCGCGCGATCTCGAAGAGGGTATTGCTATCCGCTCTGTCCATTTCTGCATGATCTTGCAAGTCTTTGCTGACGAGCAGATCGCTCTCTATCATCATAGCGAGCGACTTGAGCTCCTGGGGGTCAGGCGTAAGAGTTTGTCAATTGGGAACCATCTCAAACGCTGACGAAACGACGTACTGATCGGATATGTCGGATCCCTTGCGAGCTTTTCGCTACCTCAGCGCCCAGATCTGCCGACTTGAGTTCATCTCGCAGCTTCGTTTGACATTGTATGAATGTACTGCCGATAAGTCGGGAGGTCAGCAAATTGTGCGCTAGCCGGCCAGCTCGATGACACTGGGGGGCTTACTCTAGTTGTTCCACCATCTGCTTGGCTTGTACAGGCAAGTCATTGTACCGTTCTTTTTGATAGAAGGGATGCTGTGCGAACGGCGTTGTGAGGTGCGACCCGCCTTGGTGCACCTGCTGGCCAAGCTGTGAAGTTCCAAGCTGGGATTGTCCAAGTTGCGGCTGTCCGAATTGAGACTGCCCCAACTGCTGTTGCTGCTGTTGCGGCTGAACACCAAGGCTTCTCTGTCCAAATGCAGAGAACAGACCTCCACCTTGCTGGGGTTGCTGCTGCTGCTGCTGAGCAGGCTGCCCGAAGAGCCCGCCAATGGGTGCGCTGGCACCGGCGGCGGTCGAGGCACCGAATAATGATGGTCCACCAAACAATCCTCCGCCTGTCTGTTGTTGCCCTGGCTGCTGTGGCTGCTGCTGTTGATTCGGTTGTCCAAAGTTAAACAAACTGCTTCCCTGCTGCTGCGGTTGTTTTGCGGCAACCTGGCCGAAGAGCGGCTTCGCCGTAGTCCCAAATGTCGACGTCGTTGGCTGCTGCTGTGGCTGCGCCCCAAAAAGACCACCTGGCGCTGCACCTGCAGCTTGCCCTGACGTGTTCGCACCAAAGAGACCCCCTGTTGCAGGGGCAGCGCTTGTGACTGCCGTTGATGCAGCAGGTTGTCCGAACGAGAATGTCTGCTGGGTTGTACCACCAGGCGCACCAGTCCCAAAGGCGGGCTGCTTGGCCGGCCCTTGCCCAAAGGAGAATGACGTTGATCGTGTCTGGCCCAACATTTTCCCAGAAGAGCAGCTCGAAGGTCAAAGCTCTATTGTCACGACTACCGAATTCGCGGCGCCCAAACGTGCGACATAGATGCAATGATCATGAATTGGACGTGTGCCAATTGGAGGGTGAGGTGGTGGTTGCTGATGGCGATGAACCAGAGCTAGTCGAGAATTTCGTGTTTGGCGGCTTTTGGATTCTCATTTTTCTCGATGACGACTCTCTGACTCTCATCATATCCTTGAACATTACTGCATTGATTCTCTTTCTTCATCATCACTCTTTCCGATTGACCCTGTCCGAAACCAGGTGCTCGCTGTGTCGAGCGAGTGGTGGCTTCAAAAGCAGTCACATCAAGCCCGAGCGCTGCGTCGTCTATGATGACGGCCTCGCAAGAATTTCCTCCGACTGAGGGCGAGCCTGGGGTCAGGGTGGACAAGGAATCTGAGGCGGAGTCGGTGGCACAACATGAGGCAGACGAACGAGAAGAGCTTGAACATCTCTACAGCATCTTCGAGCCAGCTTCCATGGCGGCGAGCGGTAGCCTCAGGCAGGACAGACCACGATGGGAAGATCCAGCATGGGTTGCACGAATTAAAGCTCGGAGACAAGCAATGGGCGGACAACTGTTCTTCGACAGACTGCTTGACCTCGCGGGCATCAAAGGTGCATCAGATCCACATCAGTAATATTAATATATGACCGCGACTGAAGCTTGTGCTGTCTACCCCCGCAGACTTTGAGCTCTACCCTCCAACATCTCAGCCTATGTTGCACACCTTGCTCGATCGCGTTCACCTCACACCTCTTTTCGACAAGGCGAAGAAAGATTCCTTGGTTTTTTACCTTTTGCTCGCTCTCTACCCAGTGGAAGGGTTCCCATCGCCCCAGTCGCCTTCGTCAGATCGCGAACAGGCTGCAGGCTCGCTCGCTTTTTCTCAGAACGTTCGCCAACTCAAGCAAATTCGAGCGAGAAGTAGGGCATACCGCTTCGCCTCGCTCGAGCTCTTATCTTCATCACTTACCCGGCCGATTAAGGCGTACTTTCTTCTAGATTCGGGCCTGTTTCTCGAGGCTTCAAGCTTCATGGACGATGGCGAGATCGAGCCCACTTTCGTCAAGTCTATCCTTGAGGTCATGCTGCGAGCCCCCGCTGATTACAGCGGGCCAGACTCTGCGCCAGAGAGTCGCATGCCGACGTGGCCATACGGAGCCTATAGAGCCAAGGCACTCTCCCATACCGTAGAGGCCCTCAATTTGGATCTCCTTGCGAATTGGAGAGCGGTTCTACAGGAGTTTGCCTTGGAAGCGAGCGACGAGGCAGGTGTGCGGGAAGATACTCAAACTGAACTATCCGCTTGCGAGGACAGCCTTGTGGGATATTCGGAGGCAATCGCCTTCGAAAAAGGCGCTTGGATTGCGTGGGAAAGCATTGTCGAGGCGCTGCCGGCCGTCGGCGAGCAGGTAATCAACGCGTTGGGATTGGATCTCGACAAGGAGGATGAAGCACAAGTAGCTGACCGTGTCTTTGTATCGACCACACGGCTGCGCGAGCGCCTTGGTCGGATAGTCTGGGAGCATTGTTTCTATCGTGAGTGTATCAGCGGAATCTCTTTTGGATCTGGTTGCTCACGGCAGCATGCCCGCGCTCGCGAGCAGCCGCGCCTCGACCCGCTGCCGTCAAGCAGATGCTCGAAGTTCCATTCTCCTCGGCGTCGTGGGACTTGCTCAATAAATTGGTACTTTCACCTTCTCGATCACTCACTTTACCTCTGCAAGCAACCGCCGCCGACGTACTTCTCGTTCGCTACGTTCAGGAAGGGCGGTACGTCGACGCGCTTCGCCTGGACGCCCTTCTCGATGCGACGTCGGTTGGAAGCGCGAGCGCTGGTGTCCATGAAGTCGCAATGCGGGGTGTACTAGTGGAGAAGAGGAAACGGTTACTTCAAGGCGTGCAGGCTCTGCTGCCTGTCGTGCAGAAGAAGCTCCTTGACCTCGAGCTAGGTTTCATCGAAGAGGCGGACGATGAGGATGCTGAAAGTCAAGATAAGGAGCAGGCTGCTAGCAGGAATGGTTTGCAAATGTCGTGGGAGAATGTCTTCCCGCCCACCTCCGCAGCGCATGGCCTCTCTTTGGATGAACTTTCGTCATCAAAGGCGGCACCGACCAAAAAGTCGCATCAGCCGTCACGTCCACTCAGTGCTTCGCCTCTCCTTCGACAGTCGCCATACAACGGATCGGATCCACAGATGGCCGTTCTGACCGCGGTCGTCCGCTCTTCAGTCTCGCCATCACAAAAGCCCAGCGAAGCCTTCAGGCGCAGGGCACGACTGTCTGGAGGAGATGACGCCTCTCATGACAAGCAGCTGTCTGGTTTCCTTGCGCGCAATAGGCCCTCGCAGACGCCCACGAGATCCGCGATGTCTGTCACTCCGGACACGACCGCGGCGGATATAACCAGCGTGCTCAATGCTCGCTCGCCTTTTGTTGCTCCACCGAACGTAGCACCCGCCCCCGTTTCGTCCGGGGCCTCGCTTGACATAGGGCAAGACGAACCTTCTTGGTGGGGTATGGGAAGTGAAGCGCCTTCCGTGTTTAGCGCCACGCCTGGCTCGCTATTCGAGGCCCCTCGTAGAAGGTACGAGGCCAGGTACAGCGACACAGGAGCAAGCCCTCCTGCAGGGGCTCCGTCTACACGCCAGAGCCCGGGCCTTCGATTAACGCCAGACTATCGTAAGCGTTTTCAAGGCGCAGACAACACTGCTTCACCTGGCTTTGGCACAGATGCCTCGATGATAGAGGATGAGATCATTCCCCTTGCGCCGAGCAAGAGTCGCATCGCTATTAATCAAAAGCAAATACCATCATCCCATCCGCAGATAAGGCCGAAAGAGCCATCACCTGGGCCAGCATCGCCTCCTGTGCGCCGCAGGTTCGGCTTATCCGCACGCGCCATCAGGGGAGGCGTGGATGACTCAAGCTCGAGCCGTCCTGCACCAAGCGCACTTCGCTCAGAGGTCAACATGCAGGTGGACCATGATGATGACGATGTCGCAAACAAGACCATCCCTGGTGGTTTCCCGGGGCTCTCAGAGAGAGCAGAAGACGAAGCTGGCACACAAGCGATGGAGGGTGAGCAAAGACCTGCTGCGAAGCGCAAACACTCATCACGCTCCCAAGCCACTCAAGAGGCTGAATCGACGAACAAGACTCCACGCAAAGCTGGCGTGCGTGCGTCGCGCTCTGCTGCAGCCATCGCGGCGAGCACGCCGCGTCGTCGCACCCGTCAACTGACTGTGGAGCTCGAATCGCAGGCAGGGTCTGACGGCGAAGAGGCGCAGCCGAGCACCCATATGGAACCGCCCATCTCGAGCACACCGCTTCAACAAGCGCGCAAGTCCGGCAGGACCCGCCGAAAGCAAGCAACTTCCGATCCCGAGCTCGATTCCGTGTCGGAAGCGACGCAGACCGGTGATGACGAGGACGGGGAAGACCAGGAGCGAGACGCAGTCGGCGAGTTGGTACCCAGTACCAGTGGTGGCAATGTGCGCCGCAGCGGTCGCAATGCTGCGGGGCGCGGAGCTTCTTCGCGCGTGGTAACGAGCACCAAGCGTAGGAGCGCCAGACTGAGCACTGTATCGCCCGAGCGAGAGCTAGGGGAGACACCGCAGGACGCTAAGGAGGAAGGGGCCGAGGACACTGTCCACGAGCGGCCGCGTAGGAGGGGAGCAAGTACAGGTCGACGCACACGAACGCAAAAATAAAATGTGTAATGCAGTCTGCAACTCAGCTCAGGAAGGCGTCGCGCATGACCTGTTCGCCCCAAATCATCGATGTAAGGTATTGCAAACAAGAGCACTTCGGTACTCTACATGACTTTTGCAGCGATCAGTCGCCTGCCATTTTCTACAACTCTAATTTGCTTCACTGCAGTCCGCCAAAGACGATGAGCTTCTCTTGGAGGTATTCTGTGGGGGCAGAAGATTGCGTCAGCTGTTTGTCTTCAATTAGCAAAGTTGAACAAGGCCCAGGCACAACACACCATCGATACCTCCACGTCCACCTTCTTTGCCGAATCCGCTGCGAAACATGAGCGAAGAAGTGGGGTAAGCAAGAGAGCTCTTGACCTTGTGAGAGCACGGCTGGATAACTCACGACTCCTTGACACCGCCGAACGGCACGCTGTTCTGGCCGATCAAGCCGGTCTGGACACCGACCATGCCGACCTGGAGCGCCTGCGCAACTCGCCAACAGCGGCTGACGTCCTGAGAGAAGAAGTAGCCAGCGAGGCCGACGTCGGCGTCGTTGGCCAGCGCAATTACCTCTTCTTCGGTCGAGAATCTGTACAGGCCCGCGACGGGCCCGAACGTCTCCTCGTCCGACATGGGGCAGTCGCGCGTAACGTCGGCCAGGACAGTCGGCTCGAAGAAGAGGCCCTCGCCCTTCTTGCCGCCAACAAGCACCTTGGCGCCGTGCGCGACGCTGCGCTCGACGTGCTCCTGCGCCTTGGCCACCCCGCGCTCCGAGACGAGCGGGCCATGCGTGACGCCCTCCTCCAGGCCGTGCCCGAGCTTGAACCTGTCCACCTTCGCTGCGAGGCGTGATGCAAACTCGGCGTAGATTGACTCGTGCACGTAGATCCGGTTCGCGCAGACGCAGCTGACAATTCAGCAAGGAATTAGCCGGATCTGGTCAGCACCTAGTCATGAAAGAACGGAAGGTAGGAGATAGATTGAAGCTCACGTCTGACCGCTGGCGCGGAACTTGCACATGATGGCACCGTCGACGGCCTTGTCGAGATCGGCATCTTCAAAGACGATGAACGGTGCATTACCGCCGAGCTCAAAACTGAGCTTCTTGAGTGTACTGGCGCTCTGGCCCATCAGCAGCTTGCCTACGCCGGTGGAGCCGGTGAAGCTGATTTTGCGCACGTATGGGCTTTCGCACAGCGCTTTCCCGACAGCTGCCTCCTTTTCACCCTTGGTGCACGTCAACACGTTGACGACGCCCTTGGGGATGCCGACGCGCTCGCACAGGTATGCCAGCGCCAGCGCCGAGAACGGCGTCTCGGCCGGCGCTTTGATCACCACCGTGCAGCCGGCTGCGAGCGCCGGTGCGAGTTTGCGCGTGATCATAGCGGCGGGGAAGTTCCATCTGCGTTTGGAACATGGGGGTTTCAGCGGCTGCGGTCTCGGTCAGGACATCTGCTGACGGTCTCACGGTGTGATCAGCCCAGCGACGCCGATGGGCTGCTTGAGGACGACGTTGACAACGCCGGGCATGGGCGCGGGTGCGGTGTGCCCGTAGGTGCGGAGTGCCTCGCCTGCAAACCACTCGACGAACGAGTTGCTGTACACGACCTCGCCCCTGGCCTCTGAGAGCGACTTGCCATTCTCCGCGACGATGATGCGCGCTAAATCCTCGGCGTTGGCAGTGAGCTCGCGGAGGAGCGCGGTGAGCAGGTCGGCACGCTGCTTGCCAGTTGTCGCGGCCCAGCTGCCAGGCTTCTCGAACGCGCCAAACGCCGCGGACGCACCGCGGATCGCCCGCGCCGTTTCGTCCGCGCCGCAGTTGGGCACGGCGCCGATCAGTTCGCCGGTGGCCTTGTTGAACACGTCGAATGTGCTGCTGTCCGACGGCGCTCTCTTGTGCCACTCGCCGTCAATGTACGCAGCGTTGACCAGCAGGGCTGGATTTTTGAGCTGGAAGAGATAAAGAAGGCGACATGAGTTGGTGAGCAGTCGTTAGCTCGAGGCATATGGACGACAATTGTGGAGACACACCTTCAGATCTTCCTTCTGGCCCTGTTTGAGGATCCCCTTTGGCATGGACGGCATCTTGGCAATGGCAGAGGTAGAGAGAGAGACAGCTGCGGCTTTTGAACCAGTTAGCGGTGCGAAACGGCCGCCAGGAAGGTAGTTCGCCGCGGAATGGGTGCTGCTAGCTGCTGCTGCAACGCGCTGAAGAAGGCGAGGGCAAATGCGAATGCGAGAGGAAGTGCAGAGGGCGACGAGTGACATGCTCCACTGCTATGTGTTACGACGAGAGCGCTTTTGCTTGCGGCTCTGTTTTCACCAACTTCTCGAGCATGGGTCCATCCGGTCAGTGCGTGGCGTCTGGGGCGGGCAAGGCGAGTGCGAGGACGATGGGGACGAAGCGTGGTGGACCGTTTCCAGACGGAGATAGGCTGCTGCCAATCGGAAAGGGCTCGTCGTTCGTCGTTGAGGATGGGCGGCCCTGGTGCCATGAGCAGGCCAAGTAGGGTTGTATGCGCACCACCCATGATGGTAGTCGCATGGCCCGTGCGCTGACACACACACAGAGCCCTACTTTTTGATCCACACGTCCTCTTCTTCCATACATGGGACGAGCAAGTATCCGCGCCATTGGATCTGGGGACGATTGAGATTCTATCGCTGTGTACGCGTCCCAGCTCCGACACCCTCGAAGCAGGTTTCTCTGGAGGCGACTCCTTGGGCTCCGCTAGGCGCAGCTCGTTGGCCAGTGCTCAGACAGCAGCAGTGAGGTCGGTGTGCTTAACTATTGCTGTGCGAGGCTCTCCGGTTGGACCCAGCTCGGCTCGGCTCTTCCCCCGACGCCGTGATGGCCGCTCGCTGGTCCTCTTGCTCCTGGCGGCCCAGCGCTCGACTAGCTCGTTTCACGCCGACTGTGCACTACTGCAGGGCATTGGAACCTACACATTCTATTCTCAACGTTGTCTGTGTCGGCAGCACACGAGGCTATGCCGCTCCGGCCGGCGGAAGCAGCAACAACAACAACAACAACAACAGCAGCAGCACCGTCCCTTCTGCCTCTGCATCTGCCTCGCCTTCTAATGCTGCTGCCTCCAAGGGCAAGAGAACCTTCAGCACATCTGCTGCATATCAGCGCCAACGCCGTACAGAGTGGGGAGTCATTGCTGTAGCAGGTTCGGCTGCCGCCCTCAGCGGCTGGTGGTACTGGTACCGCATTCGACCAAAACGAGCAGCAGCAGCGGCAGCGGCGCAACAGCACACCGTGCAACAGAACGCGACGCGTTCCTTCTCCCTCTCTTCCCGCACCAGCTTCTCCATCGCCTCCAGGTCCGCCTCGGCTGGATCCACAGGGGCAGGCGGCGCAGCGTACAAGATCATCACCTCCCTCACCCCCAGCGAGGTCGACCGCGTTCTGCGCGAGAACGAGCGCTCCACCACGGTCGATCGCCCCGCTCGCAGCTGCCTCGTTGCGCGATATGACACCAACAGCGTGGCCAGCAACGACCCCATCGAGGATAAGCGCGCCGAGGTCATCGTAGAGCGCGACACACCCGTCTACAACCCCCGTGCTGCTGCTGCTGCCGGTGCGGGTGCAGTCGCTGCCCCTTTAATCTATGGCGACTTGTGCTTTTTTGCCGTCATGGACGGCCATGCAGGGTACGCGACCTCGACGCTCCTGTCCCAGAAGCTCATTGCCTTTGTCGCGCTTGAGCTCGATAAGGTGTTCCGTGAAAAGGGAGAGTACGCACAGATCGCAAAGGCCAAGGCAGCTATGCCGGGCAGCATGTGGAGCATGCTCTTCGGCGCCAGCGGGGATGCTCCCTCGTCGCTCGGAACAACCATCAGCAAGGCGCTCGTTGCGCGGGGGGGCTCGGCATCAAAAGTCGTCACTTCTTCTCCGCCAACCTCGCCTCCCGCCGGTTGTGCTGGCTTGGACGGAGATCCAGACATTGTCCGGCGCGCCATCGCCAAAGCGTTCAAGAGCCTCGACAAGGAGATCTGCAATACGCCAATTGAACTGCTAAAAGAGTACGAAATTTCCCTCGCCGCGTCCAAACCCGCCGTTGGCGGCGGCGGAAGCATCAACTCGCGCGCTGCGCCATCGCGCGTCGTCACCGCCGCCTCGAGCTCTGGTGCAGGCTCCTCGCGGAGCCTGTCGAGCCTGGCACACTCGATTTTCCCAAGCAATTACCTGACTGGGTCCAGCTTCACACAAACACAGCGTACTGCGTACGAGGCCATCCTACCCGCGCTGAGCGGCTCCTGCGCGCTGCTGACATACATCGATAGCGCCCGTGGCGATTTGTACGTCGCGTGCACCGGCGACAGCAGGGCCATCGCTGGCTGGTGGAGGGAGAAGGAAGGCCGCTGGGAGATCGAGCCGCTCAGTGTCGATCAGACAGGCAGGAACGAGGCAGAGGCGAAGAGGTATGTGTGCGCCACGCTCCTGCCGCTCAATGCAGCCGTGTTCAAGTCTGCACGCTAACATCCCGACTTCTTACTTTTGCTCCAAAAGGATGCGATCAGAGCATCCAGTTGCCGAAGCGGACACCGTCATCATGCGCGGAAGAGTGCTCGGAGGCCTGGAGCCGACGCGGGCATTCGGCGATGCACGCTACAAGTGGGACCGTTCGCTTCAGGAGAGGCTGTATGAAGCCTTTCTACCCGGCGGTCGAGCTAGCGCTCGACCGCCACCCAAGTACCTCCAAACCCCGCCTTACGTCACGGCCGAGCCGGTCATTGAGGTCCGCAAGATCTCCAGTGGGCTTCTCGCCTCTCCGTCCCCAGCGGCAGCATCATTCGGCCCTGAGGATTTGGCAAGTGCTGCAGAATCGGCACCGCCCGAGCGCGATCTCAAATTCGTCGTCATGGCCACTGATGGGTTGTGGGACATGATGAGCAACGAGGAGGTCGGCTCGCTTGTTGCGGGCCATCTGGCAGGCCTCAAGGGCGACGTGCTCGCCAGCACGCTGCAGGCGCAGTGCTTTCCGTCACCAGCTGCTGCTGCCGCGGCTAGCAAGGGCGCAGGCGCGCCACCGGTGCTGTCGCCTCCGGGCTCGGCGCGCGGAGCGGCAGCCTCCCAGGCGAATCAGCAACCGAACGGCGGCCCGGATGCCAGCGCCCTCTTCCTTTCGCAGGTGCAGCAAAAACAACAGCAACGCGACGCGGGGCACCCGCTCAACAGGGCTCCGCAGCATCTCAAGACATTCACGTTCGAAGACACCAACATCAGCACGCATCTCATTCGCAACGCACTCGGCGGTGCGCAGAGAGAGCGCGTCGCGGGCCTTCTGGCCATCCCAGCCCCTGAGAGTAGGAGCTATCGCGATGATGTGAGTGACGGGGAAACATGGAGCCGCGACTTGCTCGTTCATGAGCATGCTAAAAGCTGATGCTGGAGGAATGCTTTCTGTTTCGATCTGCTGCGCCTCTGACATTTCGCATGACAAGATCACCGTCAAGTGAGCATCACACGTCTCTCTGAATGAGAAGTCATATATGCAGTTCTGACCTGGCCTTTTTCCTCTCTTTTTGTTACATAGCGTCATTCTCTTCAACGACTCGAGGGCACCAGCGCAAGCTGCAAATGTACAAGATGGAAAGGAGAGTGAGACACTGATCAAGTCAAAATTGTAGTCTTGCAGTAGACAAGAAACCGAGCATTGTTTGTATGCGTGCAACTTGAACAAGCTTGCGGCAGAAGCTATATGCGAAGCTTTGAGCTTCGATTGGCGGGACATACGGCATTTGAAGCAAGAACAGTAGAAAACGACAGCGCAGCTGAAGAACTTCAGGGTGGCGTCCATTTGTCAGCTGGCGGTGCATCTGGGTCGAGATCATAGTGCAAGAACTCACGGCGAGGAAGGGGGCCAATGCGCAGTGTGGAGTTGCTTGCGATTGCAGACATACCTGACGGATGCGAGGTGAGACGGTCAGGATATGGTGAATGGAATAGTACAGAGCCGAGCGCGACCTCTTCCCAGGATTGGAAATCCTTCGAAGAACAAGAATTGGTACAAAACTATAATTAAACACATTTACAGCGAAATGAAGATAAAAATGTTTATTTCTGTGCTTTAAATGGGGACCAGGGATAGAAGTATCGCGGCGACGTCCCGCGTCGGCACCAGTCTCCATCCGCCGGAGATGAACGCGACTGACGTATTGTTGGTCAGAACGACGCTATAGGGCAAAGAAAGAAGTGTGATTAAGGTTGATGTCACGTTTGGGATGGGGGTTAAATTGACTCACATTAGATCAGCCTTGTTGACGGTGTTGCTGTAGTAGCGTCCGATCATGCAGGGCACGAAAGCTGTTGCATCGATTGTGAGATTCGCCAAATTCGCATCGGCTGCATCCTCCCGCACTCCTTCTTCATCCTGCCCCTGCTCATCCTCTTCTCTGATGTATCCGCTTCTCGTTATCCGGATCGCTCTCGTCTTGCGAGTCATCATACTCGGATTGAGAGCGAGTAGAAGCATGGTCCACAACTTGTCCAGCTTCGTCCATTTCGTCAGAGGCTTGGAACGTCATCGTCGCCGTCATGTAGAACACGCACGTCCTGGTTACTCCCAGAATGATTATTGTTTCTGCGATGCGAGTCGGTCATCTCGCGGACACAGAGGGTTACATCCGGTTCTCGTGCGAGATCCAGAGCCGCTGCCAGCCGTGAAGCTTTGATATGCGTGACGGACCCTCTTCGGCGCGCACCAATGTGTGACGTTGTGGTCGTGCTGTGGACAATTACGGTGTGGTGAACTAAACGCCAAGTAGGTAGTCATAATGACCGTTGATACCTTCCCATGGGTGCTCCTCGCGCTTCTGCGCTTTGTTTTTCAACGAGATATTCGTCGTCTTCATATCTGTCGATGGCAGCGACAAGCCTTGAGCATCTGCCTCAAATAACGGATTTTCCATGATAATGGGGCAGTCTGAACGTCAGATGACCGGCGTAGCAAGTGCGAGGATAGCAGGGTTTATTTCTGGCAGCCGCAAGGGAGAGTCGATTCTCGTAACAGGCAGAGAAAGAGGGTTAGGCGAGCAAATCCGGCTGAATAGTTGTGCGGCGATCTAGGGTGTCGTTCTGCACGGTACGATAACCTTCGTAGTGACTTGCATCGCTGCTTCACTCTGAATGCTCGAATGCTGCGCCTGGCCAATATCCTTCTCGGCACCACCCGCTGAATGACACTTTCGACACTTTCGACACTGGTGCACTCGGTACTCCTGACTCTCGACGAAGAAAGGTTGTTGCTTTAGTCCATAATGCCGTTATAAGGCGCGTTCTTGACTCTGCGCGTGCCGAAAGTAGAGGCACACATGAGCGAGGTCTGCCGTCTTCGAAGGATGAACTTGTGGCCGGATCCTAGCAAATACCTTCGATGACTTCTTCATGGTGGCTTTCCTCGACCATGTCTTGCTCATGCTGCTCTCGGGTGCTGCCTCGGCGGGTGGCCCCTCGGGTAGAACCGACGAGATATTCATATCAACGGGTTGCTCTGCACCGTCAGGAATGAGCTCGTTGCGGGGAGGAGACTATTTCTCGTCGATGATGTGGACTGACATTGCTCGTCGACCGGTTTCTGTTCAGCACAGCCTCTGCGGGCTGT